GCCGAGGCTGCACCACATATCCCTGGAGAGCTGCTGGGAGCATCTCACAGAGAGCTGTGTCAGTGCAGCATCAGCGATGCTGTCCGGCATACTTTGGACTGTGAGGCAGTGCTGAAGAAGCAAAAGCAGCCCAAGGATTTTCCTTTTCATCTGAGAAACCTCATTTTTATGAAAAAAACCCTGAGCTTTAGTGATACTGTGCTCTTAAAAAATGTCCTTTAGTTACATTGCAGGGAGCGGGATGGACCATCCTGCGTGTCTCTGGTGGGCTTATGGCAAGTGTTGGCCACTCCAGCATCACTGGGGCTCCAGGGTCAGCAGGTGCATGGCCTGGCTGCTCTCTCCGTGTCCCATTCTTGCTCTTGAGATACTCAGTGCCCTGGAGATGGGGCCTGTAGAGTCAGAGAGGACAGCACAGCTTGTTTCAGCTCTGGTAGGGCTGCAGGGAGCAGGACCAGGAGGGACCTGTGGGTACTCCACCATACTCATGGCCTGGCATGATGAATCTCCAAGCTGGGGGGTGCTGTGGAGCCAGACCATGTGTGTTAATGCACATGGTGGTGGTGAGATCTCTCTGGGATGGAGAGGCTCTGGGGTGCCCAGGCCTGTCCCACAGCATTGTACTTTTCCCCACTGGGGCTGCTAGCTTGCCTGCAGTGGTCAGAGCTGGCCAGCATGGGTCCCTTCAACAGAATCCTTCTGCACAGAGGTTTTGAAGCCAGAGCATGTTGAGTATTTGGGGGAAAGGATTGGGATTGTCTTATTCTTAGGCCCATGTGGCACTTCCTTCTTGCTGCCAGCCATTGGGTGACTCCATCCTGCCTCGGCTTCAGGTGGCAGCCCCTCTTCCCAGGTCTCTGGGTTCCCTGGGAGTGCTGTGCTGCACTCAGGGACAGCCCTATCCCCTCTGGTGCCTTCTGCAGGTGACACGAGGCTCACAGCCATAGGTGCCTTGCAGTGCTCAGAACAGTAAGCTCACTGCCAAAGGGTAAACCCTGGGCTTGAATTTGACTTTTTCCTGTATGAGTGGGGCACTCTGAGTCAGGGACCTGTGCTGGGGCAGCCATGGCTCAGGCTGGTGATGGAGATGTGCTGGGGGACAGGAGCCTGTGCAGTAGGGCGGGGCTGGTTTAGCTGTTTTGGAGAAGGGCTGGAAGAGCCATGGCTTTGCCAGTCAAGCTTCCAGCTGCCAGGTGCTCCCACCCTGTACTGGGCACAGAGCTGGGCAGGGAGGATTGGTAGGGAGGTCCCAGGAGGTTACAGGTGAGAAATCACCTGTGTTTGCCTCTGGACTGTAGCTTGGGCACGGTTTGGCAGGGACTCAAGTGCCACATGGCAGGAGATGCCAGGAGGAGTACCAGGCTGGACAGTTTTGGGATGGCATAGGTGCTGGTGAGAGACATCCAACCCTTGGAGCATTTGTGCTCCTGCCCTGTGGAGGGCCATGCTCTATTGGAGATGTGACTGCATAGGCCCAGGGGTCAGGCTTCCAGCAATGCCATCCATGGGCCCTGGGAACAGGGCTGCAAAACAGCCAGCAGTGATTTATTGAGTGCAGCTCACATCAATTTCGTGTCATCCTGTGCTGGGACAGGGTGACAGCTGCCTGGCCTTGGCAAGGAGCAGGGACACCTTCCACTAGACTAGGTTGCTCCAAGCCCCATCCAACCAGGCCTGGAACACTTCCAGAGATAGGGCAGCCACAGCTTCTCTGGGCAGCCTGTGCCAGTGCCTCAGCATCCTCACAGGGAAGATCTTCCTCCCCATACCTAATCTAAACCTACTCTCTGTCAGTTTGAATCCATTCCCCCTTGTCCTGTCACTCCAGGCTCTTGTAAAAAGTCTCTCTCCATGTTTCTTATAAGCTCCCTTCAGGTACTGGAAGGCGACAGTTAGATCACCCCAAATATTCTCTTTTCCAGGCTGAACATTCCTAGTTCACTCAGCCTTTCCTGGTATGAGAGGTACTCCATCCCTCTAATCATCTTGATGGCCTCCTTTGGACTCTTTCCAATAGCTCCATGTCCTTCCTATGCTGGGGACCCCAGAGCTGGAGGCAGCACTGCAGGTGGTTCTCACCTGAGCAGAGCAGAGGGGCAGAATCACTTCTCTCACCTGCTGCCCACACTGCTGGGGATCAGCACAGCACATGGTTGGTTTCTGGTTGCCAGTGCACGTGGCTGGGTTGTGTCCAGCCTCTCACCCATAAGCACCCCTGGGTCCTTCTCGGCAGTGCTGCTCTTGATCAGCTCATCCCCAGACTGGATTGATGGTGGGGGTTGCTGCAACCCAGGTGCAGCACCAGCACTTGGTCTTATTAAATATCATGAGATTACCCTGGGCCACTGCTCAAGCTTGTCCAGGTCCTTCTGGATGGTTCTGTCCTTCAGGTTTGTCACCTGCACCACTCAGCTTGGTGTTATCTGCAAGCCTCTTAAGGTTCCCTCAATCCATTTGTGTATTAATGAAGATATTAAATGACAGTGGTCCTGATATGGACCCCTGAGGGATACCACTTGTCACTGGTGTCCATCAGGAATCTGAGCCACCGACCACTGTCCTCTGGATGTGACCGTTCAATCACTTTCTTATCCATCTAACAGTCCACCCATGGAATCCATCTCTTCAGTTTAGAGAGTAGGATGTTGTGGGGGACTGTGTCAAAGGCTTTACTGAAGTACAGATAAAGGGCATATGTAGTCCTTCCCTTGTCCACTGACAGAATCACTTGATCATAAAAGGCCACTGGGTTGGTCAGGCAGGACTTGAACTTGGTGAATCTGTGCTGTCTGTCCCAAATCACCTCCCTGTCGTCCATGTTCCTTAGCACAGCTTCTAGGAGCATCTGTTCCATCATCTTCCCAGGCACAGAGGAGAGGCTGACTGGTTGATAGTTCCCAGGATCCTCCTTACTACCCTTTTTAGGATAGGTAAATGTTCCTCTTTTCCAGTCATGAATGATTTCCACCATTCAGTGTTGCTTTCAGAGAGCAGTGATGCAGGAGGAGCTGAGCACATTGCAGATGCTGCTGTGGGTGCTGGGACAGTAGGGACACATGCAAGCCATCCTGGACTATAGCATGTGGTGTTCCCAGCCCAGTCTGTTTAGGACAGCATGAGCAGTTTTGTGTCAGCCTCTCGGCTGTGGGCAGCCTGGAGGCAGGTGCCACAGTAGGGGAAGGATTTGGGGCGGGGAGCAAGGCCTTGCTCATGGAGATGTGCTGTCTTCAATCTCTCATGTGGGAAAGCAAAGGAGACTCCTGGCTCCAGCAGCCCATCTCTTCCTGGAAGAAGCGTCCATCACACCTGAACCTGTTGGCTTTCACACAGCCAGCAGATCCCATGATGTGTTCTGGGATTGCTGAGGGGGACACCTGCAGATTCTGAGAGCTCTTCAGCAATTGCTCTCTGGTGTCAGCTGATTAAAGCCTGAGAATTTCTTAATTTCCTAAAGCCAAGTTGTGTGTTGAACCCTAGTCCACAGGAGATGTCCCTTGTGGATCCCTGACTGCTTCCCTTTCTCTCCCCATGCCCTTCCCCACTGTTCCCTGCAGTGGTTTCTGGGTGCACTGAGGCCTGGACACCCTTTGGCTGCTAGACTTTGCTGCAGGACACAAAAGGGAAATGAAAAAGAGAAGTGGTGTATATTGCTGAGCCGTTGGAACAGGTCAGAAAAACCTTGGGGACTTGCTGACATGGTGGGTATGGAGGAACTGTTGACTCAACTGGGCACAAAAATCTGCTTATCAGAAAGCAGCATAAATTGTCTTCCCATTTTGAGGTTGGTATTAACTGAGAGAAAACCCAGAAAAGCCCTAGATAAACTGAGGTTTTAAGCCAGTAAAGAGCTGCTGGGATGAGTTTGGCCATGGTTGGTGGTTCCTGCAGGTTTCTGGCGCTGATGGCCAAAATCCTCACTGCTGTCTTGTGCTGATACTCAAACCTTCTTCCCCATCACCTCTGCATCTTGCCCACATGGCCTCCCACCAGCATGTGTTTACAGGTGATAAACCTGATTTGAGTCCCAGGGAGGCTGCTGAAGGCAGCAGGTGAAAGGCTGTGGCAGCTCCTGCTTCATGCCCCAGGGATGCCATGTCACTGCTGGGACGACCCAGAACATCCTCCTGTGCTGCTCAGCCCAAGGCCATCTGCAGTGTTGGCATTTGAGCAGCAAGCTGAAAGGTGGTGGGGTGGGCTTTACCCACTGGTGTGGTGCTGAGCATGTGGTAAGCTGGCATCAGCAGAGGGATGGGTCCTGCTCACTGCTCTGACAAGCCTAACCCAGTTCTGCCATAGCACTGGGGTGCTGCACAACCACAGCGATTTCATGCATTGGATGCAGCTCGGAGCTGTGCTGCTGGAGAGTGTTGGCAGATCTCGGAGAGGGGAAGAGGGGCCCTTTGCATCCTCCTACATCACCCAGCATGGGCAGGATGCAAGGCTGGGAGACCAGTGCAGGCAGCACTCACAGGAAAGCAGAAGTCAGTTTGGTTTGGCTGTAAATGATCCAAAGCAGGAAACATGCCAGCACCCACAGGACTAGCAGCCGTAAAGGAGGTGGAGCAGGAGGTGGCTCCCTGGGTGGGAAGCCTGAATCCCCAGGGGTCCTTGTGGGGCTGCCAGTGAGCTTTGTGGGACAGGTTTGGGCCCAGCACTGCTGATCTGAGGTGACTCCAGTGGGCAAAGGTCTCAGCCTTCTGCCCCAAAAGGCTTGGGAATGCTGCCTAGAAAGGGCTGGGGTGGGTGAGCCTCCAGCCTGCCAGGACAGCAGCATGACTGGGGCTGGGGGCTGCACTGGGGCATTCAGAGCACCTGTTCCCCATGCAGCAGCCGCAGCATTCCTGTCCTGTTGGCATTGTGTGCCCTGGGCTCTGATCGTGCTCCTGACATGGGCCTGGAGCATGGTCATGTCATGCCTGGGGCTATCCCACACAGGCTGCCAGCCTTACTGCCCTGCTCACACGTTCCTATGCCTTCTAACACTGTGCCACCTTGTTCCTCACAGTCAGGACAGTTCAATGAAGACATGATCCCAACGGTGGGCTTCAACATGAGGAAGATCACCAAGGGGAATGTTACTATAAAGGTAAGGTGCAGGTGTTACTGCTGGGGAGGGCTCTTGGGATGAAAGGTGGAGGGCAAGGAGATTAGTGGCTCTTCTGCTGGAGACTGAATGATGACAGGAACCTCATCAGCATCTGGGAATCATAGAATAAAATCATAGGTTGGAAAATCCCTCTGAGATCATCGAGTCTAACTGTTCCCCCAGCACTGCCAAGGTCACCACTAAACTATGTCCCCAAGTGCTGTATCCACGTGTTCTTTGAACCTTTCCAGGGATTCTGATTCCGTGATCTGAAAGATTTGCCTGGTTAGGTCCTGCAGGTACCCACTGGAAGAGGTGGTGGGAAGGGATGTAGGAGCTTCAGACTTGTGCAGTAAGAGCCAGTCCAGGCTGCAAAGCTGGAGGTTTCCTTATACCTCTGACTTGCTGGTGGGGACTCATGGATGTGGTCACCTTGCTGAGGGTGGGAGTGCTGGGAAAAATAGGTCATGGCTTGCAGTGGTGGTCTCTGCCTTGAGAGCAAAGGGAAAGGAGGGTTCTAACCCTTCTGGATCTTTCAAGGGCCCCAGGTTGGACTGGGAAATAGAGGTGGGATGGGCTTGAAAAGTTGACTGGGGATCTCCAACAGCTGCAGGAACACTTCCAACAGTGTGCTGAGTGTTCTGAAATGAGAAAGGCCTCGGGGAAAGGCCAGGAGGTGCATGAGGAGGAGCACCCAGCTTGGGCCAGGCAGTCACTCCATACCACCTGAGACACATTGCAGGGGGTTCAGCACCCTCCAGCTGTCCTTCCCAACATATCTCCCTGCTTTATCTGGTCAGGAGCCTTTTCCTGAGGTTTGAGCTGAAGAGGAGGGCATGTGGGTGGGTTTGGTGCATGGCCAGTGCTCTGGCCAGGTGGCTGTATGGGGCAGGACCTTGGGCAGGATGGTGGGGTGATGTGCAGGACACTGGGGTAACGCTGCCCTCTCCCTATCACAGCTGTGGGACATCGGGGGCCAGCCACGGTTTCGCAGCATGTGGGAGCGATATTGCCGTGGAGTGAGTGCCATCGTGTGAGTATCCTGGGGAGCCACAGCCCCGCTGTCACCCCTGCTTACAGCGGGAGGCACAGTTCTGGTCTTCCACCCTGGGATACTGGATACCTGGGGAAGCTGTGGTGCCTTTGCTGCTGGAGTTGGACACCTGTGTCAGGAGTTAAAATCAGAGAATCATCATGGAATCATTCAGGTTGGAGAAGGCCTCTAAGGTCATCAGGTCCAACCATTAACCCAGCACTGCCATGTTCACCACTAAACCATGTCCCCAGATGTTTTTGGAACCCTTCAGGGATGGCGACTCCACCACTGCCCAGTGCAGTCTGTGCCAGTGCCTGACCACCCTTCCAGGGAAGAAATTTTCCCTAATACACAACCTAAACCTCTCCTGATGCAACTTGAGGCTGTTTCCTCTTGTCCTGTCACTTGTTCCCTGGGAGCAGAGCCTGACCCCACCTGGCTGCACCTCCTGTCAGGGAGTTGTAGAGGGAGAAGGTTTCACCTGAGCCTTCTTTTCTCCAGCATTACTCAGCCTGGCTCTGTTCCTTGTATCTTGCCCTTCCAGGCTCCTCTGCACTGGCTGTTCATGGCAGGGGCTGAGCAAAGCCCCACTGGTGAGGCTCAGCCCATTCCAGAGGCTGATTCCAGGCTGGGGTGTTTATGTGCTGCCAGATAAATCTTGTGCCAAGGGCAGTAGTATCAGTGCAATGCCTGCTGCTGAGTCAGCATATCTGAGTGTCCCTACGTGTCCCCTGCTTGCAGACGGTGCAGTAAGTACAATTCCAGGGAGTCCGGGCCGGGGGTGAGCCTGTCAAGATGCTCGTGGGCAGCAGGCTCTGAAGGACAATTACTGATCCTGGGAGATCACATTGGGGTTACTTAAACCCAGTCAGAAAATCGGGTTTATGGGATCTTCCCCAGCTGACCATGCCTTGGGATTTGGAGGGCTGCTTTCTGTGTTGCCCTTCCCAGCTGTACATCTTGGAGGTGGGGAGGAGTGTGGGACCACTTGTCCTGCGTGTTGGGGCAGTAGTGTCTGCTTCTGCCCTTGCGGATTGTCATCATGGTGGGACATAGCCCTGACACATTTTATTACAATGAGCTTTGCTGGAAATGACAAAATCTCAGTCTTTTCACTCCTTTTGTTGCCTCCTTCCATAATGTTGTAATTTTGGCCCACCTGGTTGAGAGGAAATGAGGGGACCTGTGGCCATCCAGGTCACAGTCCAGTCTGCCCTCCTAGCATTGGGCTGGGATACTGGATACGTGGGGAAGCTGTGGTGCCCTTCTCTCCTGCCTGGTTTGCCTAGGGCTCAGGGCAGTGCCTGAGGGATGTTTTTCCCTTGACACAGCTGTTCCCTTTTTCTTGTGTTCAGCACTTCAATAGTTAAAGGCTCTTTACGTATTTTTAATAACCCCCCAAGGCCTGATGAGCTGACTGGTGTTTCTCACTTCTAGCTTCTTGATCTTTAAAATCAAGGCTGCTTTGATTGGTTCCTCACCCCAGTTTTGGCTTCACTGACATCCTTTGCAGTATGGGTGTTGACCTGTAAGAGCAAAATCCTTCCCCAGTCTCCCTGTCTGCATAGAGCAGCATCGCCGACCCACGCATTGCTGACTGCTGGCTTTGTGTCCCTTTGCTCTATGCCCCATTCTGAAATTGCCCCATTGAGCAGGTCCTTCCCCCTCTTGGGTTGACATCTCTCCATCAGCTCCTCTTGCCTTCTCCACTTGTTCTCTCTCCTGGGTGTCTCATATGCACATGAACCTTGGCCATTTGGGAACAACGTGCGTCCTGCAGCTTCTCCTGCCCAGGCAGTGCCTGGGCTTCCCTTGCCCAGCCTGTCCCTACTGTCAGCAGGTGGACCCCTGCAGGGATGGGGGCAGGGTGGTTTTCCACTCCCCTGGGAGACACAAGGGGCTCTCAGCCCCGCTGCCATCCTTGGGAAGAGGCAGGCTCCTGGGGAAAGGAGCCTGTTATCCATCACCTCCACATTCTGGCCCAGTCACCAGTGGGGACAGTGAGCTGCCAAGGGAGGAGGTTTGGTGGTGACAGGGACCTCAGCACAGCATCAGGGCATGGGAACCTGGGCACCTGTGCTCAGGGGTGTCTCTTTCCTTGCAGATACATGGTGGATGCTGCTGACCAGGAGAAGATAGAGGCCTCCAAGAATGAACTGCACAACCTGCTCGACAAACCGCAGCTCCAGGGCATCCCGGTGAGCCTGGGGCTTGATCAGTCTCCCCGAGATGTTCATCCCCTTCCTTGGGGGATCCCTTTCCCACTGCACTCCTGTGGGCACCGGGGCAGTGATGCTCTCTAGGCCAGAGCTGGGCCAAGCCACATGGAGGGAGCTTTTGAGCAGGGAGTGCAGCCCAGACGCCCACGTGTGAAATCTGTCCTCTCACATGGATTTGTGCCTGATTTATGGTGGGACATTAATGTCCTGTCTCCAAGGAGAGCAGTTGCTGGGCTCTGCCATGTGCAGGAGGTGGGACGTGGCACAACATGGAGCACGCTGCGCGTGCCGGGGTGGGATGTGTATGGAGCATCCCAAATCAGCATCCTTTGAAAGGAGCTAATTGAGGCTCTTGCCATGGATCCCAAACGTCCGCTGCCAGCTAAATTAAGCTCCTGACATACTGCACTGCATCTGCAGCCCTCTAAGCAATCTCTTTTGGGAGCAAGCCTCCAGTTTGGAATGAGAGGATGCTGCATTCCAGGATGCAGCAGACAGTGGCCGCAGCCTCAGCACTGTCCTGTCAGGTGACAGTTGCGTAGGTGCTCTGGAGGGATGGACTAGTCCTGCGGTGTGGTTATGTTCCTTGCACAGTCTGAGAATGCTTTTGTGAATGTGAAAAGCTTTGAAATCAAGAGGGATCAGTGGATGGCACAAGCAGCCGTTGCTGGTTTGGGCTGGCTGCCTGTGGAGTGGGGTCTGCCTGGCATCCACGGCTCACTCCCAATGGATAATGTCAGATTTAGCCACTTCCCTTGACTTTTTGCTCAAAGACAGTGAGGCTCCTGGGAAAACAACCTGGATGGCATGCCAGATGCTGGTACCTGTCAAGGAGGATGTGCTGTGGGGCTGTCTCCACACTGGGAGCAGAGTGCACAGGAGATACTGTGTACTAGCTAATTAAGGCAGTTAATTGAAGTGCTCCACCTCCTGATTGCTGCTGAAGGTCATTTCTCTGTCCGGACCAACTGGCAGAGTGGCCAGGGCTGTCTTGTGTCACAAGCAGGCTCTGCTTCTGGGTGGCAGAAGTAGGTTCCTGCCTGGTCTGGCAGCCAGGAGCTTCAGGTGTCCCCTGCTTTGCCCTGCAGGTCCTTGTCCTGGGGAACAAGAGGGACCTGCCTGGTGCCTTGGATGAGAAGGAGCTTATTGAGAAGATGTAAGTGTGCCAGTGGCCCGTGTGGCTGCAGTGGGACTGTGACACAGTGTGAGCCCCTATTCCTGCCATGTCCCCACCAGCACGGTCACCCGTCTGGAGTGGCACTGCGGGGCCCGGGGTGGGCTGGCCGAGATGGGGGACTGACGATATCCGAGGTGATGTCTTGTGGGGACAGGGAGAAGCTGGAGCTGCCGGTGCCAGGGCTAGGTCCCGCATGCCACATGGTGGCGTTGGGACCCGGCACAGCAAAGTGCGGCACGGCGCTGGGCGCTGGAGCCAGGCTCCCCAGGGATGCTGAGGTGGGGCTGGGGCTCCCCAGGGGCAGTGTGCTGAAGCTGGGCTCCCCAGGGGGACTGT